TCAGCTGTCTAGGCACCTGCCTGGCAAGCCCAAGGACCTGAGTTCGATACCTGGTACCACATGCTATGCCATGCTGGCCCAGAATCCCCTGCACACAATGCTGACAACTGAAACTGGGTCTGGTGGTGCATATAATCCTAGCACTGGAGAGGCTGAGACAGGAGGACCACTACGAGTCTTAGCTGCATAGTGAAACCCTGTACCAAATAAATAAACCGAAGATTAAAAAAATTTAAAATAATTGTGGGTACTTTTCAAAAATACTGATGCTTAGATCCTACCCCTAGAGATTCCTGGTAAATCAGGTCTGTGAGCAGTGCATGGGTATCAGAATTTTTTAAAAGTACTTCAAGTGACACCTCTTGCAGGCAGAGCAGAGTTAACTACTTATTAACTGGCCCATTTCATACATGCTGGAGAAGTACTTGCTGTCATGAAGCACATACACTTGCATGGTGACTCATCCAGGAACACAGCATAAGGCCAAACAGAAAAGCAGTTAGCTCACATCTCTCTCCATCTCAATTGGTACAACAGGCCTCTCCCACTGATGCTCAGACAAGCTTCTCCTTGAGCCTCTCTTAACCACCCTCGAGGAGCCATTCCCATCCAGAGACACTGTAAACATGCAGTAGTAGTGTGCAGGGCCCCACGGTACAGCATGTGCCTCTTTCTGTGGAATATGTACTCCCACATGGCAACCTCAAGCTACAGCAGGACCTCACCTGACACAGCTGGGAGAGTTGCACCACTGCACAAGGTTACATGGGAGGGAGCTCCACCTTCTAGTGTGATACACAACCTCCCAAGACAGATGATGGTAAGATTTAGCAAAATAATTAGGAAATTAGCAAAATAATTAGGACATTGTAATTTATTATTTTTGCTTTTATTTATTTATTTTTTATTTTTTATTTTTTTTGGCGGAACCAGGGATTGAACTCAGGCCCTTGTGCTTGCCAGGAAAGCGCTTATTCCACTGAGCCAACTCCCTGGCCCCCTATTTTTGCTTTTAATACAATTTAAAATTTATATATCCTAATCTTTGATTGAGAGGGCAATACTGATGAATTAACCCAAGGTCTTCTACTGAGCTATACACTCAGCCCTTTTAATTTTCTTACTTTGAGACAGGGTCCCACTAAGTCACTAAGTTACTCAGGCTGGGCTTGAATTTATAATCATCCTGCATCAGCTTCCCAAAGTACTGGGGTTACAGGCATCCACTGGCTTAAACTTTGCTTTGTATTTTTATTTTTTTATGTATTTAGTACAGGTCTACAGGGCCTCACTACACAGATCAGACTTGTAGTGATCCTTCCTGTTTCAGACTCCCAAGTGCTGGGATTACAGGTGCACGCCACCATGCCCAGTCTCATTTGCAGTCTCAGCTGTGCCCCGGGGGCAGGGCCTGCATGCTGCTGCTGCTGCCCTCTGCCTAAACAGCCACTTTAATCTGCTGAGCTATCTGGCTGGCCCATAAACTTTGTTTTTTAATAATGGTTGTACCTTAACAAAGTGCTTGCAAACTTCATGAGTATTTATTCATAATCAGCTCCAGCAAGCAGTACAAGACTGATGTAGCACACCACTGGGAAGGTAATGCAAACACAAGATGGGGCACCTCATGAGGATGACTGGAGCTATTCTAGATGGAATGGCATCTGAGAAGATGATAGGTGAGTTGGTATCAATACCAGAAATAGCCAGCAATGCAACATTCTGGGAAAACCCACCATGTCACACAGGGAATGAGTACTCTGGGAGAGAGTACGCTTGCCCTGAGAAGTAGAAAGTCAGGTTGATGGAAGCCCTGTGGGAAGATAAGCATAGAGTGACAGCAGCTTACCAATCTTGTACAGTCTTATGGGACACTGTAAGGCACTGGACCTTGCATTCTGACTTTAACAGGAGTCTAGAATCTCAGTTACTGTTCCTGAGCTGCTTTTCATCACGTCTCACTGAGAAATTTCAAGCACATCTATGGCTTCAGATGCAACCTACTCACTGATGTCTGCCAAATCTATTCAGGCTATATCCTTTTCTTTTGGTCTGGTGGCATATCTCACCAGGATATCTCACAAATACAATATAACCAATTAATTGCATGATAACCCACAAGTTAAAAATTTCACCTCTCAACCTGAACACATCCCAAATGGATAGTGTTTATTCCTGACTAAACGTGTTCTTCTCTTTCCTATCAAGAAGCATCAGGGCTCAGCGGATTAAAGTGCCTGCAAACAGGCACAGGAGACAGGGGCCTGCTGTGCCGGCCTCACCCCTGGGGTACACTGAGACGGCAACTGAGACTGGGCTTGGCGGTGTGTGCCTGTAATCTCAGCTTTTGGGAGGCTGTAAACAGGCAGATCATTATAAGTCTGATCTAGTAGTGAGACCCTAAACACTCTGTAGACTCTTCCCTAAAAAATGCAAAGAGGCATCATCTGCCCGAATGCCAAATCACAGAAACCTGGTAATGAACTTAGAAAACTTTCCTGAACCACTACATCCAACTGGTTCCAGGAGCTGACGATTTACTGTCCTAAGTATCACAGAAATATTGATCCCTTTTCTTCCAAACCTCACTGCCACCACCTTATTTTAGCTTTCTGTCACTTTTCTGGACTTCTGCAACAGCATCCTACTTTATCTTCACACTCATCCATCAGATTTCTATCCCATCCTGATTTGTCTTTCAACAATGTCTATTCAAGTAAGAAAGGTTACCTACACAGATAATCGTGACAGACATCAAAGAGTCTTAGGCTTTCTAAGTATGAATAGTTTCCTATAAAGCTAAAATATTATCCTTAAGGGTCTGCAAAAGTAATATGTAAAGCTTTAGGAACTATCCTTTGCCTACTTTCTTAGTTTTGCCTCTCATGTCCCCCTAGTTATGCAGTTCCTGCACATCTGTGTCCTACACATTATGTCAATGTCTAAAACAGTGTTTTCTTCCCTCATCGACCATTCATTCACACTTCAAAACTTCAGCTCAGGTAGCATCTTTTCTTAGAACTCTTCTCTGACCCCAAACAAACCAGGTACCACTTATCTTTACTCCCACATGTACATGCTTCAGTCAGTGCCCTTATCCCTTTACTGATCTTTTTCTTTCTTTCCTTTTTTTTGAGACAGGGTCTCACTATGCAGTTCAGGCTGCCCTTGAACTTACTATGTAGCACAGGACGGCTTTGAATTTATGCCTTAGCCTCCCAAGTGCCTACTAACTTGTAATTATTTACTTTTAGGATTTCTGTGTCCTTAAAGGTAAGAATTGGATCTGTAATTCCTACAAGTATCTTAGACATAGAGAACAGTAACTAGGAGACTTAGGCACTCCTAATATTTGTTGCAATCAATGGTATCTTAAATAGCACTAAAGTACTACTTTCAGCTTAGACAGAAAGTATTGCACAATAACATTATGGTTGAGGATGTAAGGCTAATTTGAAGTGGTAAGAAAAACTTCAGGTTATCATAAAGTAAGGCTTATGCAGTCACAAAGAGTAGCAGGAACTATTGGAAAGTGAGAGGGCTCCCACATCACTGCCTTAGGCTTTCACATGAAAAAATGACAAGTCTTATCACTCAAGAACCACTAAAGGGGAAAGTAAAATTTAACTCCTTTTTAAATATACAACAGGAGGGCCAGGGATATAGCTCAGCAGCAAAAGCACCTGCCTAGCAAACACAAGGTCCTGAGTTCGATCCTCAGTACTGGAATCAAATAAATTTTAAAAACATGAAAATTCTAGTCAATTCATAAATTAGTTTCACAACAGTCAATTTAATCTGAGTAGAATCTGTACAGCCTCCTTCCTCCCATGTCTTCTCTCTTTCCACCAAAGAACTGTGGGTGACCAAATCAATGAGAGAATAAGGCTTTGGAGAAGCTAACTGCCAGGACATGGAAATATACTTTTAAAATGCATTTTTAAAATATCTTTCTAAAGGAGATACAAATAAATTCAATAGTCAAAACCAATGAAAGCCTGATCCAACGGCCGAGGTCTGGGCGACCCCAAGAGTTTCAAACATTCTACTTTGCAATTTCTTCAAAGAAACTGTGACCAACGTTCTCTTGGGTGAGGGGAAGGGACCGTTAAAACCAGAAGAGGAGGATGGGTTTGAAGACAAGTTGGAAGGAGGCAGAATGGCATAGGTTATCTGTCCTTCAAAATGACTTGAAGAAAAGTGCAGTGACGAACAGCAGACAAAAACAAGCAAAATAAGCTTTCAGAAGTTCTAAATCGTCCTAGAGACTCAAAAACTCTACTCCCATTTATGAGCTGAATATTTTTCTCCCAAGAATTCACTGCCGTAAAAGAGGAATGTGAAGCCGCTGGCCACCCGAGCTGGGTGTGACCCACAGTTTCTCCACGAGCCAGACACGCCCTCACCAGATATCGTCCAATTCTCTTCATTATATGCATCTGTCCAGGGAGTCTAGATCTGACAGGGGACAGGGAAAAAACGCTGGAAAACGGCTGAAAAACTTCACTGGGGGAAACTTGCAAAAGGTACGCGCCTGTACAGAGAAGCGCAGCAGCTCAGTGTGGCCGTGAAAACCAAACCAAGCAGCTAACATCTGTAGGGAGGGATTTCGGGACCACTCTTCAGGGCCAAGGGCAGCGATCCTGGGGAGCTACGGACGGAGAAAGGGGGCCTTTCCCTCGGCTCCGCCCCGGGCCTCGGTCTCCCGGGAGCCTACCGCGTAGAGAAGCACGACAGCGCCGGGACCGGCGGAGCTGGCGGAGGAGTGCGAGTTGGCGGGGCGCGGAGAGTCCATGGTACGTTTGCCGTCCCGGGCGGGGCCTGGGATCTTTTGCTACGCGGCGGTGCAGCCCCTAGGGGCGGTTCTTCCGCGCGGGGCGGCCTGACCTCGCCCAAAGCGGCGGCACCCTTTACAGCCGCCACTCGGGACCCCGGGCGCCGCCATCTTAGCCAGGACGGAAGCCGCGCGGGGCCCTGAGCCGCGCGCTAGCGCGGAGCCGGAAACGGAAACTGCGAGGCTTGAGAGCCGCAGCCGGAGTAGTGAGTGGTCGCATGGCGCGGGACGGGGGTTCGAGGTCGGGTTGTGCGGCGCCTGTGGGTACTGAGAAGCTCTTGGACACCCTGTTGCAGACTCTGTACGATGTGGGTGAGTGAGATCCTGCGTCCTGGACTGGAGGCGAGGCCGCCTGGGAGCTGCTCCAAATGCCCAGAGGCCCTCGGGCTCGGGGGTCACGCCCCACCCCACCCCACCCCCACCGTGCGGGCTGGGCCCTGTGGCGCGTACCCGTGGTCACCTGGCCAGTACCTTGGCCTTGCCAACCAACCCCCACACACCCTCAGCAGAGCTGGCCGACCTTTCAGTCTCCTTCGCTTATGTTAATGAGGGGAAAGGGGAAAAGAGAGTTTACAAAAACTCACAGTTGAAGATTGGCCTCCGCCTGGTCCTTCAGCAGGACCATCTTTCACCTTCTGAAGAGCTGATGTAGACCTTCATGTCTTGTAGTATCAAACTCGCTTCTTACATTTACGGTGATGCTGCACGTGCTACTTTGTTTTTATTTTAGAATGGTTGCTCAAAATTTTAAGCTTTCCTACATAGTAAGAATAACAGCTTAAAGGAGGAAGACTTTACAAAACCTTACGTGCCTGTCACGTATTCACTCTGTGACTCTCAGAGCAACTTTCTGATTTGTTCGTATAGATAACCATCATTAACCCATCACTGCAAATGTAGAAATGAACCCTAGATCTTCAAAAAGGTTGTTTTGGGCTACCTCGATGGTAACTTGGAAAGTTTAGGCTCCAGCCCTCGCAGTGTAGCCCTGTGCCCTGTGCTATATTGCCTCTTCTTGACTTGCTGTACTGACAGAGCATTTCGGTGCCCTTGAAATACTGGAGAATAGAAAAGACCTCATCAAGTCACGGATCTGGAGGAATTTAAACTCTACGGGAAGAGACTGCTCTGCAAAATCATACATACACTTTATGTCACATGGGCTGGAAATCCTTGTCCTAGGAGCTCTGAAGGCCAGGAATGGATCTACTCATTTTAATATTTCTATTGCCAAACTTATTGTTGGCTTATAGTAACTGTTCACTGGGTAAGATACTACTGTTTAGAGAGCTCTTGTGTTTGTACTGTAGGTAAATAATGAGGCCTAGAATTTCGGGCAGTGCTTTTGGGTAATTGATCAGAGTTTGAGTACATGAAATAGGTGAATGTGGATCTTTAGTAGGAAAATAAAGGTATTCATCTGAGGCCAATCATATTAGGGTTTCCTTAACTCATAACTGAAGGAACATTGGAAGACAGTTACATATACTTACAACCTTGGGAAGCGTTGGAAAGAAATACTGGCTTCAGTGGCAGTTTTTAATACAAAGCATGGGGCAGCTGATACTCCTAGTCCTGGGACTGTTGCCCTGATGAAATTTTGTGGGAAGACCAAAGTGGACTGCAGTAATTTTGCTGATAAAGGCCAAAGACCTAAACATTATGTAGGAGAAGATGGCTGCATTTTGCATTCTATAAGTTGTGGAAGTATACCCCACTCGAAGCAAAGCAAATATGTAATTTATTTCTTTGTGTGTACTTCTGGGTGCTCATAGCTGTGGCATATCTGTAGGGCATGATTATAATTTGACATTGGTATGAGCTAAAGCTGAAAATACTTATTTTTCCTTTTTGTGTTTGAACAGGAGAGAAAGATGAAACAGAGCAGAAGAAAATCCGAAAGAAGAGAGAAAATAGGAAGACAGATGGTGTTGCAGAGGCTGTGGCAGGAGAGAGTACCCCGCCTGGTTCTTTCACAAGAAACCAGAAGATGAGTGCTTCCAGCTTTTTCAGGGAACTCAGGGAAGAGTTGAGCTGTGCTCCTGTGGTCACCTCACACAGTCCACCTTCCGGAGCCAAGGTCCCTGCTACTACAGGATCACCTTCTCCCCTACAGAACAGCAGGGACCAAGTGGAAGTTGTAGAATTTCACAGCAAAAAGAAAAAAAGAAAACTGAAGGAAGAGCAAGATGAGTGCATAAAGGTAATGCACTGGTTGGTTTATGGATGGGTGTTGAGACCCTTGAAAAGTATCCTCATCAGAACGAGGCGGAGGCATTCATTCCTTGTTATAGTTTGTGTCTAGTTGTCCCCCAAAGCCTCATGCAGTCACTGGGGCAAGCTTTTAGAAATTTTGGTTAATTCATGATCCAGTGCTGGGATTATGGGTGTGAATCCCCCCCCCCACCCAATTACCTGTGGCTGGGCCCTATTGCACGGTACCCGTGGTCACCTGGCTGCCTGGGCTCCGAGACCCTGGCCAGTACCGTGGCCTTGCCAACCACTCCCCACCCACATGCACCCTCACCAGAGTTGGCTGACCTTTCAGTCTTCTTCACTTATCTTAGTCAGCCTGAATGTAATGTAAGGAAGGGAGCGAGGCTTGTTCTCTGCTTTTGGTTCTCTTTGTTTGCTTTTGCTGTTTTCTGCCACTATGAGCTGCTTTCTTCTGCCATGTGCCACACTGCCTTGGAGCCAGTGAGTGTGGACTGAAACCTCCACCAACGGAGCTACATAAACCCGTGTCAGATATTTGGTCCCAGAAGTAAGAGAAAAGTAACAAAGACATCCTTATAGGTCTAGTCATCT